AATTCCAGCCACAGAATTGCCCAGAGTCTAACCTTTCCCTGACTTCGAACTTCCCCAGAGAGCCCATTGGTGAACGTGCGGTTTAACTTTGCACAAGGCAAGATGGATTGATCAGGCGACAGGTCTATATCGACCTCCTGTATTACTACGACGCTGCAAACATTTCTGCTATCGATACCTCAGAGGCCATGGGGCTGTGGGTCCTCTCGAGCGTTGCTTGGAGTCATTATGCTGGAGAAAATGGCAAATGTGGGTTCAAAATAAAGTCCAAGTCACCGCTACCGCCTCCATGATTATTTTGACCGCCAGGACAGTGGAAAAAACCATCACGACGAAGCTTATCCAACATAGTTCCTCCGGATATCTGGATCATACTCTCGGCATTGTGTAATCCTAGGAAATAAATTCACTTTTGACACATTTCGAGTTTTCAATTTGACCGCCAAACTACGTTGTCATTGCTGAAGATTTTTCTTCGTTTTTCATTTCTCTTAGTATGCTTCGAAATATCACGTCATATGGCTCACCTTTGCCGCATTGGACAGCATAGCCAGGACGCTTCCTTGCTTTCCGTTTTCCGCTTTCAAAATGTGGCATGACATTTGTTCTGCCGTTGAACGGTGACGACTCATATAGAAAGCAGAGGATTTGGGTTCGAGGGTACGGAAGGACCTTGAGGATAGTCTACTATCCTGAATCATAGTGCTGGGACCTGGGAAATGTCTATCTCATTTTTTGTCCCTATCTATGCAATGCTATGCAATGTTTCTGTATCACAAAGGGCCTTGAAGAATTTTCGAATGCCTATTCAAACATCCTAACTTTTTTTTCTTTTCTTTTCCCTCCTGTGATTGGTCGTTATCACTGTGAGAAGAAAAGTGTTGAGTTGGGGGTCCATTGGATCCGCCAAAAATTCTCTATAATAGCAAACCAAATAAAAATAAAATCAACATCTAACTTATAGCTGTTAAATCGGCGGACTTGACATGAAAAATCATGCCATTGTGCAGCCTCTCGGCCGGTGTCCCCTACGCTTCTTCTTAACCATTAAAATTCCCCCAAAGTGATATTCTCTATCAATTCCACAGCTCCTGGGGTCATAGCCCATGCAGGGTAGATATACTTCAGCATCGACTGCACCTCTGATAGGGTACCAGGCGAATAGTAAGCTGGCAGCTCATGCAGATGCTTCTCCGGTTCGAGCAGAGCTTCCCAAAAGTACTTGTTTGAGCTGTGGAGGGCCTTGTAGAGTTTCTTGACCTGATCTTGCAGCAAGCCAATCGCCGACGTATGATCCCCGCGCAATAAAATGTCCGCATTCTTCGCAATTATCGAACTGCGCAGGCGCGGGCCCTTAGCAGGTGTGGGCCGTGTGGCGGAGTCGACAGCTGAGCTTTTGCAAGTCCATCAGATCCAAAAGCAGCCTGGTCTTTAACCAGAAGCACGCCCGCTCCAAAGCACAGAGAAATAAAACGATGACACACGTAATCAACGTCTTCAAAGACATCTGCGTCATGAACATCCAGGAACGGCCCCTCTATGTCGCCCCCAGTCGTAATCGCCCTGCTGGCCTGTCGTCTCATACCATTTGACGAAATCATAGCACTCCTGATCCCTGCCCAGTTGCAACAGAGCGCCCGGCACCGCGACGCGAATACCGACATTATCCCCACGGCAGAGACGCAGCATATCTCTCGCGTGCTCCATTTGCATCTGCACCGATTCCCGGCTCTCAACAACCATTAACGCGTGGATAAGCGCGCTGCGCGCACGCATGTACGGGCGCGTCTCGATGACCCCCCAAAAGTGCCCGACACAGGTGTTAAAAGCGTCGCCCGCGAAAAGCACGTCTGCTGGCATATCACGCAGTTTCTGCTCCTCGGCCGCGAGCGCATCGCGCGATTTGCGCACTTGGCTGCAGGATTTCTTGTGGGCGTTGAGGTGTTCAGCCTGGTGCTCACGGCTGCAGTAGTAGACGACTTGGCAACGGGAGCAGCGCAGGGTGTTCCCTTGCGTTTTGCAGAGCCCACATGTTTTTTCTGTCAGTTGGAGCAGCGCATGAGTGCCTGTCGTCTCCATTATGGTGCTTCACTGGAACTTTGCTGGGGTTCTCTGTGCAAATTAGCGGTTATTTAGAATTGATGAAGATACTGGGAAACATGAAAGTCAACGTAACTACCTAGGCACAGTGTATATAGGGAGCACAGGAAAGACCCGTTAAAATCACCGTTTATCCCAGATAAAAACCCCCTTTCCGGCAAATTACACACGTTAGTGGGTTGAAGCAACATGCCGTGTTTTTGCACCAGCACCAGACGTACCGTACCATTCAACGCGCGTCCGGTTGAAGATTGCTGGGTTAGGTTATTGAGAAACGTGCACCTCACCTCCAAGCTTAAACATCAATTTGCAAGCTGCCTGCTTTAAAAATATTTATTTGGGAAGTTTAATGAATCCTGAGTCAAGGCTGTGGAAGCCAGCCAAATGAGGGGTCGCATCGGTTTACAAGGGCATTCATTGGTCAGTTTAACCAAGTATAAGTAGGTAGAAATCTAGATGGAAATCTCAATATTAGAACTGATAGTTAACTAGTTAACTAGTTATGTAACATGCTTACCATAGTTATAAATTCTAGCACTTGCAAGGACTTTTCTTCTAGGGTCTATCAAGGGCAAGGATCAATCCTCTCTCCCGTCTCCATTCTCCGACTATTTGTTAGGATTGTTCTGTACTTTTTCAGTTGCTTGTTTGCAAATCTATATATGCTGACAGCGGGCCTCTAGAAGTTTATTTATTTATTAATGCTAGTATTTACTTATATTTCTTGATTATCTAGTTCATTGATGAGAGCGAAAAGGTTGAGTCTACATTTTGATAATTTCTGATATACTCCGCTTCGTCACAAACTCTGATTAGACAGGAGACCAATTTCCACTCCCTTCTGGCTTCACCCCTCGCGCTGTTTACACAAAAGCCTCAACTTTCGGACGGTTGATCATTGCTGTTTCGCAGTTCTCAGGGTCGACATTCTTCTTTATCGGGAACAATCCCTTTGCCTCGAAATAGCTTCAGCACGTTTCCGGGTCTGGTGATACTCTCGTCCTCGGCTACTGCAGGATGTAATCATTCCCTCTTGAAGCGGTTGGAGATTATGTCCTTCCGCCGGACAGTAGCCTACCCCACAAAGTTGCTCTTGCAAATCCAGCTCTAACACGGGAAGAAAATACGGTCATAAGCCAGGCTGACTTATGGGGGTGTTTGAGAAGTGCTCAATAAGGTTGGGAAATATGTTTTGAAGACTGTTGCTTCAAATAGTATTAATGGGAATGAGCGCAGTTTTTAAAAATTTTAACCAATGCACCTTTCGCTCCATCGGGCCCTCTCATCGTGGCTGTGTGACAAAAAATTGTTGACACATTTAGCACAGAAGACGCTGGCACAGCAGTGGTGCCATCAACTTGTGCTGATATTTTTGCATGACACCGTGTCGAAGAATTCCCCCTTTTCCGACAACAGAGCATCTCCTGGGAGGCTAAGCGTGGAGAGCGTGATCATTCTTCCGGATCATCCTTTTTGCAACACTTCTTCAGTTTGATACAACCAGAAAAGGCGGCCAGAAAAGCCTCTATACCCCCTTTTCTCGCAGCGAAACATATTTCTTAGGGCATTGCTGAGCGGTTGATTGGTTTCAAAAAGCGCAACAACAAAGAGAAGATGCAGTTCCACGACATTGGTTACACGTTGTGCTTGTGAAGATGTTATTGTCAATTTGGATTCGGGATGTATTGCCTACAGAAATTAAAGAGAAAGAAAAATGCACTGACGCTTGAGTAACCGATTGGTACTTGATCAAACGAATGGAAGTTGGAGAAATTGTGGGTGATGTTCGGACAATAATATGACGGACTGAAAAGGAGCAAATTAGGAATCAGAATGAAGATCAGATATTAGTGTTTCATTATATACATAGATATATATTCATGAGAGAGAACAAAAGATCAATCCTTCAACTTGGTACAAATATCGAATACTGCGTAGAGAATATGGAGATGGGCTATGTAACTGTGCTTCGCCTTCTATTCATTCGTTGAACCTTCGAAGAGTTTGCGCTTGAACAACCAGGGCAATTCCTTTGGATACCGGCACCTCGCCTAGAAATAGTTTTCGAACTTCTATTAAGCAAATAGCCGAGTAGTCATGCCCGCATCCTCCGTTCCACCTTAAAGGGTTCCCAAGCCGTGTCGGCGTAACACCTCCTACATGCGGATAACCCACCGGAGCTCTGGATGCGGAGAGAGGTATCCCATAGACGTTATTCACGTCAAAAGACACTACGGTCCGTAGTCCATGAGCAAGAATTTCAAACTTTTTTCCTTCACTGTACCTGTACTCTGTTGAATGGGAAGACAATGCTTGGGAAAACTCATCTTTGAGAGGAGCCTGAAGGATGACGATGAGCAAATTTGCTTCGGGATTTCCTCCACCTCAAACCTAGCGGAGCACTGATCATATTTCTGGCTCATGTCAGGGGCGAGACTGATTGCAAGCATCATCTTTCGAATTGGAAATGGAGTTGCGCCTGACTAGTCAGTAGGATTAGGTTTGTATATGCATTATGTACATTATCCATCTCTATAGATCTGAGTATACTTAGGAAGAAACCTATTCTATCTTAAAATCAACTAAATGAACTGCCAATGAAAAATATCATGGCAGTGAAACATGGGAAGTGTTGCGAGGTCTCATATTCTCAAAGTCCATTAGTTAATAAGTTCATCTCAACCTTTCATCTTCAGAATAAGAGGGTAGATCTGGCGATCGTGCATGCAAGTGATTCGCTGGTCTGGGAAATTTGGCCTCGTTAAGTATACACAGGGATAGAGTATTATCGACTGGAATTTTATTCTCGTTCTGGCCATGAGGAATGTTGCTATCACTTTCCTTCAAGGGATAATTTTGTTTTTTTTCTGACACGCCCGTGTGGTGTAAGCCATGTGATCTCAAGGCATCGAAGATGTGCGGGAACACCTGATCAGCAACGTCTCTTGCCCAGAGGAAATCAAGGTGCTCGTAATGGGGAATTGATGTCGCAAGGGTATGATTCGGTAGTTCCCCAAGCATCACATCGATGTCCACTAGACTATCCCGCCCCCCGTAAACGAGGACAATTGGTGTTTTGATATTTTTTGTGGGGAATTTGGCGGGCTTGTAGTAGCGGCTGTTATTATTGATGTTCACCAAGGGCCCTGCATCATCATCATACATCTGGAAGCTCTTATTGCGGATGATCTGGAACCAATGTACAACGGACTTTGTGCTTGTGAAGGAGAAGAGATGTGGATATGCCGCAAGCTTTTGATCGCTGTTGATGTTGACGCTGCTCCAATTGAACAGGAATGAGAGAGATATGTCGATGATGCGGACGAAGATAGGTGGGTAAAGGATTGTTTGCCACATTGGTGTGGAGCTAAGGATGCTTCGACGGCCAAAAGCTAAGAAGAGGACATTAGGAGATGCTTTCATGAGAGCATCGACGACTCCATTGGAAAGTCCCGCTGGGGACATTGCCGGTGCCAGTGCTATGAATAAGTTGATTTTTTGGTTAAGTGTCGGGTGGATAGACAGCGTAGCGAATGCTTGTGCAGTGCCTTGAGAGAATCCTATATAGGATAATGATTTTTGAGAAGTGACTGATAATATGTATTCGATGCTGTCGGGGATATCGTGGAAGGCGAATTGGTCTATGGAGAAATCCCAGAATGCTGTCGATGACGGGGAGTGAAAGATAGACTTCTTCGAATACTTGTTCCCTCTATTATTCCCCAGCCACACATCATATCCTTTCTCGACGAGCTGGAAAGGGAGGCAACGCTCTTCGTTTGTCAAACAGACCCACACTTCGCTATTCATGAGCAACCCATGGTGAAGATAAACCACTGGCTTCTGTCGGGCCCCTTTGCCAGCGTTCATTCCGAAGAAATCTTCACCTTTCTTCCGCGGCAGCCTGTGAAGGCAAAGAAGATAGCCATCGCCTGTCTGTACGACATGCTCTTCCGCTTCGTAGCCCCAGAGAGCGCACAATTGTAGAAAGTCTGAAGCGGATGCTATTTTCCCTGAGGTTAAAGTTTGCAGTGCCCGTATTCGGCGTTCTTGTGGTGAAGCTAGAGCCTTGAATAGGACTTTAGATTGCCGATAACAAAATTGTATGATTGGTTGAGCTGCGTAAAAAGGTCAGCCTTCTAATTAATCCAAGAGGGAGATAATGTCGATACTTACGAAGACAGAGTGTTACGATATGCAATAGCACTTCGATGGAGATTAATACTAGAGAGCTGAACAGAGCCAGATACTCGTTCCTAAACAAATTCACACGAGAGATCATTAGAAGAGACAAAGTTGTTTCAGGGGCCCCTAATACTATGGATATGCAGCAGACTCACCAGAACAGCCTCCCAATGAAAGGAACCCTACCCATATTCCAATTCCTTCGGAAACAAGACCAAACACCTTAGGTACAAAAATTATACCGACATGGATAGATGATGAAGAGAAGAAATGTTTGCTGTTGAAATTAAGGACAATGCGACGTCATTTTAAGCCACAATCACATGCGAAAATCCTAACTAGTCGGAAAATTCCTTATGTCATCCAGATTGGCCCGTCACGCTAGACTGCTTATGAAATAGTGCAATAACCTTGAACCACCTCAAGTTCTTCCGCAAATACAGGAAGCGCTTGTTGAAGACACAAAGCCGATCATAACTGTGCTAGAGGGAAAAGAATCGAAGATAAAGTCACAATGCCCAGCTCTTGCCAAGATATCCGTATGAAGCCCCATCACCTCTGTTCCACCGCTGTGAATTAAAACCCAATAGTTGAGCTTAATTGCCTTCCTTCCTCTTTCTGTCCATCTACTAGCAAATTCCTAACCAAATCCTCTCTCATCTAGGCCTCGCATTGGCGCAATGTCTCCAGCAGTCCGATTGCATAATGGTCCAAGGCAAAACGCCTCACGAATGTCTCCAACCACCCTACCTTGAGAATCTTCCCGTGAAATGCCAGCAGCTGCGCAAAGGCCTTAGTGATTGCAAGTGAGCTTTGGAGCCTTCCGCACCCTCCAATCCAACATCCCCTTTCTTTACATCCTGCGCAGGCACATAAATGCTCTTGACTAAATGTCCATTTTTCAAACGTACGTAGACGAGGGATGGTAGACATGCGCAAACGGTTCCGCGGCAACCAGCCCATAGCCCTGGGTAGCGAGGTCGACCCAACAACCGGCGAAGTTATCACTAAAACAAAGCCCGTCGGGCAGCTGTATGCGGGTAAGCCGGCTTTCCAAAGCGTCAAGGAGATTAGTGGCGATGAGGTGCAGATGGACCCAGAGAAGACAAGGGGATTGTGAGCGGTGCGGGATTGGATGGGTGAAGTGATTTTCGCATCTCTTGGTTGAGGGAAACGAACGGAGGAGCGCTGTGAGAGACTGAAAGTGCTGGAAGGAGTATAACATATTTTACACAAGCGATGAGCATGGTATGCTCCTCATGCCAAGGGTAAACGGCGTTGTTATCTTCAGGATATATATCATTCAGGGATTGGCGTTTGGGAAATTGTTTTTGGGTTGATTAGCAACTGTTTGAAACCCTCAAGCAGTTGTAATGTATAGTACGTATGGACATTTTCGCCTCACCATTGGCGGTTTTTTTTTTTTTTTTTTTTTTAGTAACCGAGTGTATATATAACATAGATTATTATAGATTATTGTGATATGTTAAATGGTATGAGACGTTTCCCATGCAATCAAACCCCCTAATTTAATTTCGAAATAGAGATACCCCCGTGATTGCTTGCATTTATGACATCAATGTATTTGGATTTTTGATGGGACCTGCGAATCTAAAAAGAAGACAAAAAACAGCCAAAGCAGAAAGGTATAAACTTTGAGTAATAAAATACATCATAGGAAAGCAAACCGGGGGAATATCTTTTCAGCTTTTTTTGCATCTCTTCCTCGTCGACTATCCCCTCATCGAGTCAATAAAAGATATAGATAATAACCCGGAAAAATCTAGTACACATTGGAATGCAAATGCCAAAAAATACACCGCACACACACAAAACACGTGCAATCACTTGACTTTTTTAGACCTGCTATTCTCCGTCTCTGGAGGCGCCGAGTACAACCATACAGCGACGAAAATTAGGAAACCACCAATAACGGACCACAACCCCGCAATCCAGACCCAGCCGCCTGTGATCTTCCAGCTACGGGGCCATTCGTCATGAGCGAAATGTCGAACAGTGACTTCCTCTTTCACATCAACGTTGGTGAGGAAAGGTCGTTTATAGTTGACACGGAAGGAGAAGATACCGTGCTGATCAGGTAAGGTGAATGAGGTGCTATACATGGTGCTATTTGCTGTCCTGGTTACTGGTTTGAGAGTCAGACGGTGGAAAGGCGATAGCATGGTAAATTCAAGTTGGACGGCATCTTCTTCAGGGGTTTCAAAAGGGATATAGTGGTCGTCGTTGTACTCGGAAAGCTCGATGTTAAATGTCTGACCAAGTATCGATATTAGCTTATATCACAAAGCAAAAAGTAGATGATATGAAAAACATACCACATCATTCTTTATCCGGTATATCGAAGGGTTTAATGATCCAGATTCATTCGAAGGGGGAGATTCCGCATAGCCATCGGCATTCAAATAATGTTGCACTTTACCCACTTTAATCACTCCAGTCTCTTTAAAAGTCCAAGCACTAATTTGCTTTGCAAACTCCCTGTTTACCGTCTGCGTTTTCTTCCCATCCTTCAGGCCCTTAACGCTGGCCGAGAACCATTTGTCCTTAAGACTCTCCGCAGACCCTACTACTGTGAATCGGGCCGAATTCCTCGCCTGCATTGCTGAGACCAATGAAATCTGAGACCCAAACGCGAAAGACGCGTCTACCGTTTGCTCCTCCTCTATCACATCATAGCTATATGCAGTCTCAGGAGCTCGAAGTATTGGAACTAGTAACGAACTGGCAGCCCCCAATGATTGGCCCGCAGCTTTGGGGAAAGCGACCACTCCTTCGCCAGAGAAATATGATTTGAGATCCGCACGGAGTGCTTGCGGTCGTGGAAGGAGAATAACATCGTGGTTTTCGGGAGAGGAGAGGGTGTCGTAGTTGAAGTGGTCGACAACAAGCGCATGGCGGTCTTGAGAGAGGCTGATCTCTAGCTCAAGTAGGACGGAACTAACAGAGTTGGCGATCGCTGAACCACCTGAGAGAGCGAGGAGGATGTTTCCTTCACTGTTGATAAAATCAAGGAGCGTTTTGGGAGTTAATGCGGGCCCCAGTCCTACATGTGCAGTCGCTAGAGTTAATATGCGCCTCATCTGAAACCCCACCAAGCACAAGCACAACAGGAACCTTAACCTCGCTTCACTGACCTTTTGACTTTAGAGGGAAGAGGGCGATGTGGTCATATGCTCTCTCTCCATGTTTAAAGAGCGAAAGGCTTTCATCTTTGGGCGATTGGAATGATATGGAGTATCCCCGACCTATAGTATCTCCGGGTGAGCTTGTGGAATTCGAAAAATAGGACCAATTAGTCCAACCCCAGCCCTCATGCAATTTAATCTCACCTTCTAAATCCTTCCAGAACGTCGAAAACAAGTCCTTATCTGCAACGTCGTCTAGGATGGCTAGTAACCGGTTGCCAGCACTGCTGAGCGCATGGACAACAGCTCCCCAGAGCCCCACAAGAAGTAGTGAAAGGAGCCACCGCATTGTCAAAATAGGGCCCGTCCGCGCGGGGAGGCGGACAAAAGGAAAAAGAGAAGATTAGCAGAGGAGGTGTTGGCGCGTATGGCTTGAACGCAAAGTGGACTACTCAACTCCTCATGACGATGTTTTGCTGATGTCGACAATAAATAACTGGCAACGTGGTGTCCGAGAGACGCCAAGACTTCAAACCAGCTTGAACCTTCAACCACCACACTTCAGCCTAACCTTCTCCTACTATCCCACTCGTCCTTATTGTTTCCTTTCCACAATTCCAACCTAGAGCTTATTCGTCCCTTGTCTAAAAATAAAATCCCCGTTGAACCTCTCCGGGGATCGTCGGCCATTGGCCCTCCAAGCTCACTATCCACAATGTCCGCACCACAATTCTGGTCGACGCCATTCCGATACATGCGATGGGCAGCGCATGAGAAACCTGCTATCTTCTTCAGCGTTATCATCGGCTCGCTAGGCCCTGTGGCCCTTGTGGCCCTGCCGCCCATCCGACGGTATTTGGGCGACGTGGACCCCCCCCCGATTCCATTGACTTATCCAAGTACGTTTTTATCGCTATCCATTACCACCTTGTTTTTTTTTTTTTTCTGTATTTGATACTGGGATTTCAATTGCCCTTCTTTCCCCCTTTTGTTGTCTCATTCCCTCTCTATATATCCCTATCTATTTCTTCTTATATCTAGATTGAAACGCGAGAAGTTTTTATGAGTTTTCCTTTTCCCGGCAAACCGAGATTTCTTGGGTTATATATATATAACGCGCGCGCACGTGCGTGTGTGTGTCTGTTAAGGGCAGTCAGTGTATGTCTCGAAGGGGTACCAGTTAGTAAGCAAGCGGAGGTGGGCGGGGAGATCGCGGGCAGACGAAAAACAGCAACTTGTCACCACCTCCATTGACTCGATATTTGATGGTGCTTTAGAGCCAAACGAAAAAAAAAAAAAAAAAAAAAAAAAAAAAAAAAAACTCAACGTTAAAGCGGAAGGATAAGTGTTTGGGCAAGGGAATTTGGGAGCGGGTTGATTGTCAACTCAAGACACTGTAAATATACTATTTCTCGAAACCACAAAAGGAAAAGAAAAAAAGAAATAAAAAATTGTCAATTAAAAAATTACAACACTGTTTCCAACTCCTCTTGTTGACCCCCTCTACTTCATGATGCAACATTTTTTTCCGTTCTTCCCAGAATTGTCCGGACTCCGACTACTTACGTACAATGTAGTGCTTTGTTCGCCAAGGACAGGTTCTGTAGGATACATGTTAAAATCTACCCAGCGTGGAAACCAGAAATCCTGCATCTCACCACCGCTATCTTCCAATGCGGGGAGCATCAAGATCCCACTGTTATCAGATGGTGACTGTCGGCGAAATAAGGGAAACAATTTGGAATCAACGCCCAAGGAAGACAAATAAAGGACTTGGATCGCATGAGGATGGTGTTGAGAACGTTACAGTGTCCCGTCTTAGGTGCATATAAAAAGCATCGTCTATATCGGTGCAAGTTCGCGTCGGGACCGCGTTAGTGGTATATGAATGAAGGGAGAGAGGTACCGTAGATACATACGGATCGGGACGCTGCACGGTGCTCAAGCGGACAGCAAAGCCCGTCTTCATTGTTTATGCAACGAGGACGAAAGACGAATTGTCGGAAATCAAATGCAAAAAGCATCGCCTCATGAAGTGAAGATAGCCTATATAAGACTGCCAACTTAAACCCCGTCCCATCAGCCTACAATATCATTGGAACTGTTTTCAATGATTTTGATTTTGATTTTGAATTTTTTTTTTTTGCAAATGAACTCATCCCCTCAGCTCTGAAATTCCATTGGTGTGTACCTCCTCTACAATGAGATAAGATATATAGCTGTGATCAAGGTTATATATGGCAAATTGGATATAGATGGGGAACAACAGGCTGACACTACAAGCGCCCTGCCAGCAACAATGTTGCCTCCAAAACCACAACACCCGAAAAAAAAAGTGCTCATAAATCCATGGAGATTTAGTGAGAAGGGAGGAATCATGACTTTGTAATTATGATGGCCAATCTGGGACTTGACGCAAAGCAAAACGCCTCTCCGATGCAACTATCTACATGGGACCGACCGTGGAAATCAATTACCACACACCACCACGCCTTTTATTGGAGAAACAAAAGATTTGATAAGACAGGAAGAGTAAATTCAACCAAAAAAAAAAAAAAAAAAAAAAAAAAAAAAAAAAAAAAACCGCTCCTGGTTCGATGCAAAATCCTAAATAGGCACCTGACGATTTCCAAGATAGTTGTAAGAGGTAGGAGGCATTTTTTGTGACAAAGGAGGAAAGGACTCAAGTGGTATCGGTATCATCACCGTAAGAAATATGACAAAAGGCCTGCATCGTATGTTGGTGGAGAAGTTCAATGCAGAATTTGGAAGGTGCCAAGCCAGAATCATAACAATGAGAGGCAACAGGTATTTAAAATATGATTCAATGGCAAAGCAACCTTTTCCTCAGCATAAAACCAGCGTAAATAAACAACAACAACGAATCGCGTTTCCATTTGTTAAGCTCGTGAGTTTGGTCCAGGTATGCATGTATGATCCGGGCCGATGGCTGATAGCAAAGCAAGGTAAGGAAAAAGAAAGTCAAAAATAAACAACAAAAAAAAAATGTTAAATAACTGCCTTGCGCATAAAGTGCCCATGACTGGCAAATTCCAAGGGATCGACAGACATACAAAGCAATGCGGGTTGCATTGAAGCCCATAATTTCCAGCGATTCCATGGAATTGGCTCCATCCTCGGCATATAAGTGGACATTTGTTTTGCTCCCATACGGGTATCTTAAGGCATTTGAAGAGTCTAGCTAGCAAAATGCAAAGCCAAAGTGGGCGTCATTATTAGGTGGAAGTAGTCAGAAAAAAGGTTCCCCATCGTCGGTCAATGTAAATATTGGCGCCATGGAATTGAATTGTGATCTTGCTGGCTTTCTTTCCGTCACTAAAGGTGAAAAATGCAAATAATCCCAGATTTACTGACAAAAATAAAGTTATCACTAGAACTTAAGATCAACGAGTCCTTCGGTCCCTAGATGGTGGTGGTCCTGAGGAGCGGTAGGATGAATCCGGGGGGTATCGTGAATCTACCATTGGAGCCCGGTGGTCAGGGATTGTTGTGGGTGGATAACCTATACTAGAGGTAACGGCGGGGGGATACTCGCTCTCATTCTCATAGCTAGGTCCTGGATACCTTGGGTTTGCTCTTGGGTCATTATTATACGGAGGATACTGAGTAGTACCCTCATATGTATATTCAGGGCTGCTCACTGGTGGTGGCTGTGAGTGAGCCGGGTATGGGCCCCCAGCAGGAGCGTATGTAGAAGGAATTGTTCCATAAGTTGTTGGCTGGGAATATGCTGGCGGATAAGGTGGAGGTTGAGATGAGCTGTATGGAGGATGAGCTGCTGGCGGATAGGCATCATATGGCTGGCCAGCAGCTGGGGGATAAGTCGTAGGTCCTGATTGCTGCCGGCTTTCATGGGTAGCAGAGGTATCATATGGTGCTGAATTCCTGTTAGGGTCTGGAGATATCCTTGGGTCATGATGGTGGCTACCTTGTACAGGATACCCTTGATCTCTTCTCATCGCTATTTCAACTTCCCACCGCGCCGAATCTGCTTTCAGATCGGCAATCATCTCCTGTCAACCAAACAAAAATGGTTAGCTCCAACGCCGTTAGAAGGAACACTCCTGTCTAGCTGCAGTCCCGAAGCACGAAGTTATGTGTGAATGCACTGGGCATTTTGGGGACTTGGTGAGCGAAGGTGATACATACTGGTGTCAAATTGCGATAAGCACGAATGTAGTAACCCTGACGGCCCTATACGATCTAGTTAGCATAAAAATACTGACCAAAGGCTCTATCTCATCCGCAATCGCGGACAAATAAATCGAGAGCATTTCTAGGAGAGATAAAAAAAAAGGAATTCGGACCTGATGGACGCCAGGCTTCACAAGAGCCCGATTTCCAAGATAGCGACAGATATCAGCCTGAATAACCTCGCGAGCAATGCCATTCTTTTCAATAAAGTATTCGTTTTGCCGCTCCGGGGGATCATGAGGGCGCGACATGTTGGCTAGAGTTCACGGCAGGAAAGATGAAAGAAAACAAATAGGCTACCAGTGGGCGATGGCTGAGAATATTAAAGAGAAGGCGGTAACAAGTCGATGATGATTATGCGATGAGATAAGAGGTTGATATTGACCGATTAAAGAAAAATAAGAAGGAATACAGCTTTTGAAAAACTGTGATAATCCGTGATCCGGAGACTGGGCTAGATTACCTTTGTTGAGGCAAGCAAAGGTCCTTATCCTGGAAGGGGAGTGGTCCCGGGTGGACGAACTGACACACACACACACACAAGCAGAGATAGACACAAGTATTATTATTATTATCCAAGTGTAGGTGCAGACACAACACCCTTTGTTTTTTTAACCTTTATATTTATTTTGTTTATCAGTGCCAAGGCACACTCTCATCAAAAGTCGTTAATTGACGGAACCAGGCCAACCAAGCACGGGACAAACTATCCAGGAAGGGTAAACACGTAGGAATTCCAGGGTATAACAAATCCAAGGGGAAGGTCCGGTGAACCTCAGTATAAACCTGAGTAATGGGAGAACCTCAAGGACAGGGCGTTTGATAACAAGGAGGACACCTGATGGGACGCTGGGAGTATTATTCAGGAGGCTATCGTGATCAACACAGCAGGCAGAGAGGGTCCTAAAGGGAAATATTCTGGCCTTAAAAAGAGACAGGAGCAGAACACAGAGCAATATGGCAGCACAGCAGCAGCAGCAGGAGCAGCAATAATATATGTCGGATGCCGGGAAGATACAGGAATATATAAATATATATGAGAGAATGAGAGAAAAAGAGAGGATAACACAACGGTCAAGCCCCCAGCCGATCGAGTTGGGAACGGACAGACGAGGCGAGTACGGAAGAGCCAGAAACTCCCACTTGAGGCGCTTGTGAGCGCTGCTTGATGGGAATCAAGAAGACGACGAGACAAACAGATGGACCGCGAGGAGGGAGGGAGTGAGAGAAGGAGAGAGCAGAGGAGCGGAGGAAAAGAAAGAAAACAGCGAGGGAGGCAGAAGGAAGAGGGAGGGGGACGGATGGCGACGAAAAGGGCCGTGGGGCAGCCCTGGGCCAATCCAATCAGCGGCTGCTGCCGGCCCTGACCCGCTCCACCGCCTTGTTTGGTGCCACGAACGACGGTCCAGCTGCGTATTCTCGTTACTCGTTACGCACTGTATTCTCTGCTCCTGGCCTATGATTACCGACGGGCTGCTGGTTTTGCACTGCGTATTCTCAGTCCCTGGCCTGCTGCACATGTATCTTCCCGGTTCCCCTAGGTGCGGACACGACATGTACCGTACGCAGCAAGTCAAGCTGTTGTTGATGGGCGGGCATTGTGCATGCTTACCATCGCTCCTTGGCTGCCCATGGCCATCCACCATGAACTCCCACTGCCTGGTTATCCCAATATCATCATTACTGGAGGAAGTAGTTGACAAAACTTAACCTTCCTGTCACTTACTTTGCATTACACATCTTAGCTACGCTGAAAGATAAAAGCGTGCCTTTCTTCAATGCCGTCGGCTTCTCACCTTATCGGGTAGCTATACGTCGCATCTCTCAATTTACACTGGACAGGCGGCATCCAAACGGGCGGCGGCGATGAATCCAGGCCAAACAATACTGTGGAGACATTGCCTGCTTCAACGTATCTGCTCACCCCGATCCATCGACTGGCATATGTCCCATATCTATGATCAGGGCTGGTCTTTTGATTTGCACTCCTCTTCAGCCTGCTCCAGGCATGGTGTCGTAAGCAGTCCTCATCCACTCAA